ACTCGGCAGCGGAACAGCCCTCCTCGTTCAGCACAAGAGTCGTCGTGAACGTCTGCATCATTGCAGCCAAATCCTCCTCCAGGACACGTCAACGAGACTCTCGATCGGCCTGACGGACAGCCTTCACCTCCCAAGCGGAGACGGTAGGAGAACGAGCACCGTGAAAATATCCCGGATGCTGATGGCAAGGCGGGACGACGTAACCTTCATCACCCAAGCCGACCGTCAGATCTACCAAACCGCGGGGCTCCTCAGATCTCGGCCTTTTCGCTGCTCCCTGAGACGAGGGAGACTGACTCTCTTGAGGCGAGGAAGACGAACTCTGCCCTCCCGACGTCGCAACTTCCTGTCCGACCAACTGACTCACCCGCGTCCTCGGGACCGCGACATTCCTGGTAGCGCGCAACTGTTTCACCCGCTTCTCGACAGAAGACATGTTCGCTGCAAAAACAAAGAAAGAGTTAGCAACGGCCAGAACACCCGAACACGGGGAGAAAAGAAACATCCCTACCTAGATAATCCAAAGCGGCCGCCCCGGTGGCGCAATCGAGCAAGGTCTTAGTATTAATCAGCCGCTTTTTTGTTCGCACGTTCCCCTGCGCGTCGAGGATGTACCGACCATCAGGCGTCACCAGCTTCGACGGAGGAAGGGCCCGCACAAAGGCGACTATTTTCAAATAAGCGGCCATATTTTTTTCGTCGAGGGTCCCCGCTCGTACGATATACCTATCCGTACCTCGGTTGAAATGCTCCGCGATCCACAGCAGATGTATCTTGGGAAGCCACGCGAGGAACCGTTGGCCGTCTACCATTCGCTCGCCCTCGACGAAGAGAGTATCTGAGCCCTGCTATGTGATCGGTTTAACGAGGAAGAACCGACTTTTGAAATCCTTGACGGAATCACTATACGCCTTGAAGAGCTTGGTCGACTGTTTAAATGAGACCCATCCGTGGCGGCCATTCACCGACTGGCGCTGTAAGTGGAAGATACGGAAAAACAACGGTACCGTGGGCTCCACCTCGAGGTAGAAGCACACCACCTCGAAGGCACGGATGAAAGCCAAGGCGTTGGGGTGCAGTTGGGACGGGGCCAAGCGCAACCAATCAAAGAGCCCTAGATGAAAGGCGGAGAACGGTAACCTGAGCCGAGCCTCCTTGAAGTAGAACTCGAACATGGGAAACATTCGCCGCCCATATCGCGAGCAGATGCGATGATGCCCCTTCGGCCGGTACACCTGCCAATGTTGCGGCTCCCCGATGGGCGTATCCTCGACGGTGGCATACACGTCGGACGCGTCGGCCACGAAACAATACGGGGTAGACAACGGCTCTTCAGCCGCCCATTCTTCGGCCGGGGCGATGCGCTCGTCGTCAAATTCCGGGACCTCGGGTTCGTTGTCTTCGACCATCGTCCCCGGTACCAAAGCCGACATCTACACCTGAAAAGCAGGGGACAACGGTGAATTCGATAGCCAAGATCAAATCCACCCTTCCACCGCAGGTCAAGTGAAAGGGCGACAAAGGCCAGAGAACGGCGAGCAAACACGCGCTCCCCGTCGATCCTCTTCGGGGCGTCCAAAGCCAACCCACCATCCCTCCGCGGGACGGTCACCGGAAAAAGCATGCATCCCCGGGGCATTCATCGGACAAAGCACTTGTCCCCGGGGCATTCATCGGAGAAAGCCCTCGTCCTCGGGACATTCATCGGAACAACCGATTCTCCCCGGGACATTCATCAAAAAATCGCCAGATACGGCGGATCTTGCGTCCCTCCTCGGGGCATTCATCATGCCCCGACCATGCATTCTAATCAAGCGGCGGAAATAAAAGGGAAGAGAAAGGAGAAGTCACTTGTAACGGCGGCGAACAGGAGGAAGAACCAGACGATGCGGCGGCGATCGGCGACAACGGCGGACGAGCAAAGATCTCAGAGCTTCGCAGGTAAGACAACAGAGTGAAAAGTAGAAAAATGAGCGGGGACCCCCGTATTTATAACCCGGTGCGGGATTCGAAGCGACGCTAGGCTCATTAATGACATAGGGTAGCCGCCCCTACGACCGCTTAACGCACGACACGTGGCGGCAACCTGACAGTCGCGCCCCTTCACCTGCTTTCACCCCGCTCCGCCGATGACCGGGGATCCCCGCGCGAGCGTCCGTTCCGCCACGCACGAATCCCGACGAACCTCCCGTTTCGCTACCTCTCTCCCCGACACGGCGACCTTAAGTCCTCGCTCTTTCCCCAGAGCTTTGACTTGGGGGGCTCCTGTTCCGGTCTGGGCCCGACCTCGGCAGGCCCAATACCACGTACGACCCACTAAGCGAATCGGCCACGCCGGGCACGCGCGTCCCGCAGGACGAGCAGAGCACGCCACCGGACACAAGCAGCGCGTCCAACAGCATCTCTTCGTCCCCTCTTATCAGCCGAACAGGACACACCCCGGCGCATCAAAGCGCAACCTTGGTTCCTCCCCACCTCGCGAGCTCCCCTCCGCGGGGAGAACAACGTGTCCGGCGCACGTTCTCCACGTGCCCCCCTCCGCGGGGACACGTCATCTCCCAACTGCCCACCTCCGAAAGAGCAGGTCAAACCCACTTTCCGGAGATCACGGGATAGTTGGACTAGGGCGAAGACCACGTTCTGGTCTTCACTACGCCACGTAAGCCCTAACAGTCATTAAGGTTGGGCCTGGTCATCCAGCCCACCTCAAATGACCGTTGGCTCAGCGCTGGGGTCTCTCTATAAATACCCTTTTCCTCAAGAGGGTCAGGTAATTCACTTCTCGCCCAATTTTTATACTTTGCTCTTGCTCTGCCCAATTCCTTACTTTGGCATCAGAGTGTTTTGCAGGTATACCCCCCTTTTTTCTCCTCAGCACCGGTGAGCACGCAGCAGTCCAATAGAGTGTGGTCAGCCCGTGATCCCCTTCTGATCAGGTTAGATCAATATTTGTTACACTTATTTCTTTTATATAGTTTGTCACAATATGAAAGATAAGTGAATCCAAAAAACTCTATCTTATTTATTCTCTCTTTCTATCTATTTCTCAATCATCTTCATCTTTTTTCAATTTATCATTTTCCATCTTATACTTATTTGTTATTCGTTTCAATTAAATTTCAATTAATGATCTTTGTTATTGTAAATTTTTTGTTTCTAATTTTTGTTCTTTGATGTTTGATTATAAAAGAATTGTTTGATGTTCACATTTACATGGATTTTTTGTTGTTATATTGTTTGAAGTTATTTTTGTTGTATGTATTGGTTTATAACATTATAACAATGTTTTTTACAATATTTAGATGATTTAATGTTTGGTATGTTATATTGTAATTGTTTAATATTTAAGATAGTATAAAACAACTGATTTAAAATTCAAAATAGTGTAAAACAACATATTAGTTATATTTTAATTTATAACACTCACATCTCATATGTTTTTAAAATGTAACAATCATGTCCTTTTAGTTAAAAAAAAAATAATAATAATAATAATAATAATACAATAATAAAAATTAAAAAAATTAAAAATTAAAAAATAATAAAATTAAAATTAAAATCTACGTAAAATTAAAAATAAATATAAAATATAATAAAATGACACATCAATCGCTGTAGAACGGAAATTTTTAAAAAGGTCAACTAAAAATTATTTAACATAAAATACTAAAGTGTTATAAAATTTTTTTGAAATACTAGCTTAATATTTTAAAATAACTTAAAGGATCTAGACAATATTTTTGCCAAAAAACTTTGAATAAGATGACAATAGTCACTTACGAGATCATTTAGTTCAATTAATTTTTCTCAATTCTTATCCATGTATCAATTAACCTTTGCATCAAACATGATTAATATTTAATTCTTATCCATGTATCAATTAACCTGCATCAAACATGATTAATATTTAAATCATAAACTTCAGCAAACAAACGTTACCAGCCAGAAAACCTCCCTCAGCCAGGATAATAAAATTTAGGAGTGAGTAAGGAACAGATCGAAATGAGTTATGATTAACCCTATTCTAAATTTTAATCAAACTATTTTAATGACCCTAACTCGTATTTAGACCTGTAAAAAATTCGATAATATATAAGTTAGTTTAAACCGGATTAATGTAAGACGATATCAAGTTGATCCGAAATATATGGAGAAAAAAAATTTAGTGAGTTAAAAAATTTCTTATAGTATTTTAATTTTTTTTTAAATAAGAAATATGAACAAAAACATTAACATGAACGAAAAATAATAAATACATCTAAAATCAATTTTTTAAAATAAAAAACATGATGTAGTTCCATATATGTTATCCCCTTTTTATTTTTCCTAAAATATAGTAAGATGTAAAATAAAAAACATGATATAAGAGAATTAAAAAATGTAAAAGTTGAAAAGTGGAAGTGTAGTAAGTATTTACTTAGTGCATATATTAAATTATGAAAATTATGAGGTAGAAAGTGAAAAAGTCTATTAAAAATTTGAAATAATTTAAATATGTCAATAAATTAAACAAATAAATAATACCACATATACATTCATAATATTAGGACGGGTTGGATAACCCGAGGATCAACCCGAACCCGTCTCAGTTAATACCGGGTTCATTTTTAAACAGTTATTTTTTTCTAATTTTTTTACATGAGACAAGAAAAAGACTAACCCGAAACTATTGGGTTGGGACAGGTCTTCGGGTTGAGTTCTGCACACCCCTAATAGAATTCAACAAACAAACGTGTTCCACATGTAATCCATGTACAATTTAATCAGATAACATATTCACAATATAAATTTGTATTTGGCCATCTTACATTAATGGAAATAACTATATAATACAGGGAACCATAAAGAAGATTTTTAAATTGGCAAGGGGAATAGCATTTTCAGAACTTCATGCATGAGCTAGAAGAACTGTATATATGTACAATAGGAAGTATTTGACACTCCACAATCAGCTGACAGAATGAAAAATGTGCAATCCTGCAACTGAAACCAGAGGGGGACTAGTTGTGTAAACTGGAATATAAATCTTGAAGACTGGTGTATAATGGTTGAGCAGCCTTTGGTCTGTCCACCAGGCCTAGTAGAATATCAGATGTGGTGAGATAAGGATCACCATAGAACCGTAGATTGGCATCCATCCGGGTTGCAACTATATTCCCTTCCAATGAGACTCCTACAAATGCCCCTACAGTTTGACAACATTCTTCACTGTTACTTCACTAAACTTTCAAACATTATAGTACTACTAACAATAAATATGCAGAAAATTTATTTATAACTACCTTTACTGCAACTGTAAGTGTAACACATGCCAGAGCCCCTGTCACCAGCACGAAGATCTGCCTCGGCCACTCTCCCAATAGGCCCTGCTGCAACACTGCAACCAGCCCCAAGAGAAAAATGCATGCGACTGCAGAACGTCTTCACAGCTTTCGTATCATGAAGAACAACTATAAAATCCATAAGTTCACCGCCAATCTAGAAATACAGGATAAACTCATTTATCAGTCAAAAAATGAATGTGTAACCTAGCTAACACAATCAATTTTCCTAGAAAAAAACATTTATACTCTCTACTGACTTCCTATTGTTGGGGTAAAATTTAAATGGGTCACACTAATTGTGCCCTAAGGGTAGAAAGTTGTGTTGAAATAAAAACCAACTTTACACTTTAAAAAGAGCCAATACACAATTTACAAAGCAGAACTTCTACATTTGGTTTATTAACCTGTGCCCTTAGCATTTTCCTATTTAAATTTGATTAATCGATAGCTTGGAAATAACTACTACCAATGCATAAGTGATTCATGCTAATAAGAACACATCAAGAATATTCATGCCAATCAATTTCAGAATACAAGAAAAGAACAAATTATAAACATATGCCAATTTTAAAACAGAATTCTTTCACCACTTTTTGAATTGACCCAACACAGTGAGCATAACCATAGTGATATAATTTTACACATGAACTAATCCCATGTCTAATCTCCTCACCTGAGCACCCCATCCTAAACCCAAGGAGAATATAGCTGATGGTGCAGACCATGATCCGTCATGTCTCCGTGCAACAACCAAACCAGTACCAACTTTGTAAGAGACCAGTGCACCAGCTTTGATAACCGTCAAAATTGCAAGACCTTGGGCACTTTTGAGAACAGATAAAGGGATGGACTTCTCAGGATTGGATTTGGCCACCTGCCAATCCACAAAATATTTCAAATAAAAGCAGTAAAGGCGTATATTCCAAAAAATATTGTACCTAGAAACTTGATGCTTACAATAGTAAAGCACTCACTGTAGAAATTATAATCCAAACCCATACTACAAAAATACTATTAATTGGATATAATGTGCAAATATATATTAGTACTTTACACTGCAGCATTAGCAAACACCCCCGGGAATAACAAAATAGAAGCAATGTAACATGGGCATAATATTTAAAACAGGAAAGAGGCTTGTTCAACGAAATTACAAAATCAAAAGCTAGCAAACCTGACAGTAGTTTCTCAAAGTATTGGATGCTTTATATATCTCATGCTCCATAGATAAACCAATAGGAAGATTAAGCCACCCTCTAGCACTAGTCCAATCCATGACATCGTGCTTAGCTGACTGCACAGCATTGCTTATGGTGTTGATAAGAACGCCTTGTAAAGGATCAAGTCTATCATAGCAGGAATCACAAACCCTCTGAGGATTCCTATCCCTGAACTTAACAGGCAGTAAACACCGTCCCTTTGTACATATTCGACAGAAAATCCCTCCACAAAACCGGCAATGATGTCTTCCCCGTGTAAGTGCAGTAAACGGAGCATTACACTGCATACAAACAGTAGTAGAACTATCAGGCAGCCACTCAGGTGGTTCAGCTTCAAGTACCTCCTTGTAGGAACTATATTCAGCCCCATTTGGCAGAAAAAGTGGTGGTGCACTCGGCGTGTACACAGAAGAATCGAGAAAAACATCTCCATCATTTCCAGAGCCAAGAAACGATACATTCGAACTCGGTAATTGCTGATCTTCATCCACACTTAAAGCCTTGTTTCGTCCAGTCAAAATAGAAAAAATCCCAGAAAGCACATTCTTCAAATTCACATCAGGAGTCATGCTAGAATGGTTAACCCGACGAGCCTCCTCATTTGACTCATAACCTCCATCAAACAATTCATCATCCTCGTAAGAAAACTTATACGAATCATAAGATATCTCCCGGTTTGTGAACGTTGCGGCTAATGGTCCACTAGTGGTGCCAGACTCAGGCTCAGGCTCAGACCATGTAGACTCACCATGGCAATTCATATCATCATAACCAAAGTGAGGTTTCCCCTTTTCTAACTTAGAAAGCGAAGAGTACGCAATTCTACCATCAGAGGAAGCCATTCATCAACAAAACTACCCTATTGCATGCACTTACGTAAACTGCAATAAAAGATTCTAAAGTTACAATCTTTATATAAAGGGTATGAGAAAAATGTACAAACATATCATAAAAAGGAAACAACTTTAGGAGGGAAAACGATGCTTAAAATTTTTAGTATATTTAAATGGAAAAAAAAAATTGAACTGATGCAAATAAAATTAGTGGAAAATATAAATTGAGCATCGATCGTGCAACTAGAATAGGACAATTTACGAAGAAATAAGCTATTGAGGAATGGGAAATTAGGGTTTTGATAAGAAAAACGAAAAAGGGGGTAAACATGGTGAAGGAGAATTAGATGAAGAATAATACTAACCTTTGATTGGAAAGATGGAACTGCGAAGCTTGATTGAGGATCGAGAGAGAGAGAGAGAGAGAGAGAGAGAGAGAGAGAGAGAGAGAGAGAAGAAACGTTGGTGTTGAATTTGGATTATCTGATAACTTGATTCAGCTGCAATCACCACCTATAAAACGGTGTCGTTTAACGGAAACATGTGCTTGCGTAGCTGTGTGATTGATAAACAGATAAAGTATATCAGATAATTTTAAAATCTTATACAATAGTAATATATTTATTTTTTGATTAAATGCACTTTCTATTTTAATTTTTGGAATTTTTAAATCCTTTAAAAAATTGATTTTTGATTTTTTGATTTATTACTTTATGGTTTTTTTTAGTCTTTCAAATTTGTATGATTATCGTTTTAATTTAATTTATGATGTGATATTAATATGACAATTATTGCATGGTGTCACATTATACAATTTTGTCACATCATATAAAAATAATTAAAATATATATTTAATATTATTATTTATTATATTTAAATTCTAAAATTTTATTTATTTATCTATATTATTAGACTATTAGTTACTGTTATGAAAATTAATGTTTTAAAAATCGAATTGAACTCGTCGGTTCAACTAGTTGGACCGAGAACCGGAGATGAATTTAGTTGGATCAACCTTTCAGAACTGTTAGTTGGTTAAAATTGGAATAAAATTGGAAAAATCGGATTGAACCATCTAAAATCATTTGAACCAAAGAACCGAAGTCGAGTTTGTAAAAGCGTCTAGTTCAAAAAATGCATCAAATTGACTATTTTTTAATAATTTTTTTTTTAAGTTCCATATGTCAATATCAAAACTTAACATACAAATTTTTAAGTTTTGTCATGTTATGATCGTTCAAACATTGTCACGTTATCCAACTTGATATTGATTGTCGTTCAAGTAAACATTGTTTATTATTGTCAATTATGTTTTGTTTTCGTAGTTCAACTCAAATTCGCTCTTTATTGTTTAATTAAGTATATTGTATTTTTTCTTTATATTTTATCTTATTTAATTTAGGTATTCTAAATTATTTGAACATTATATTAGTCATTATATTCTATTATTTTAATTTTGGTTTAAATTAGTTTAACTTATTTTATTGTAACTCTTTAATTTTTTCAAATTATTATTAAATGAAGGTTGAGATGAAGTGTATAATTATGTTATATTAATATATGTAATTTCGATTTTATTCTTATGTTATGTGTGATATATCTATGAAATTTAGTTTCATATTATTATTTTATTTAATAAATGGTTCGACCGTGGATTTAACCAGTTGAACCAATTGAATTTTAAACCAAAAGGTTTATCGATTCAATCTCCGGTCCGATTTTCAAAACATTAATGAAAGTGTTAAAAATGATTAATTAAAATGTAATTAACTAAAATTTGAAGCCTATTGATGGATTAAACACACCTCTTTTATAAAGAAATGATCATTTATTAACAAGTGAGATACGTAATTCATTTTAAAGGTGAGAAATATATTATTGGTCAAAACTAATACGCTATAGTGAATTAAAGATTCTTCGGGCATTCAAGGAACTCAACCATCCGAGAGAGAAAAGTTTTGTTTTGGTGTCAAATCATCTGTTAAAATCCCACGTCGAATAATATATGGTTTAAACAAGTGTTTATAAGTGGAGGCAACCCTCACTCTACCAACAAATTTTGTAGGGTTGAGTCAAGTCCAATCACATTTCTTAACATGGTATCAAGAGTCTCGTTTAAGATCCGGTGGGCCACATATTATGGTTTCCGCTATTGAACCATCACCATTTATTTCTACGCTCCAGTTGTCTAGTCCTGAGCGTGATGGGGTGTGTTAATAGTCTCACATCAAATAATATATAGGTTGAACATATGTTTATAAGTGGAGACATCTCTCACTCTATCAATCGATTTTGTAGGGTTGAGTTAAATCTAATCACATTTCTTAACATAATCGATGTACAAAGTTCCCTGTTTCATTCCAAATTTTAGTATGTCATTTCTATCCATTAATTTGTTAGATTTTCATTTTTTTTAACATTCTTTTACCTTGTTTAAACTATTATTTTCTCAATTCAATTAGTGTCATTGTTTTGTTCGTATCTTCATCACCGTTACTCGGACCTGCGTGAAACCAATGCCAAAACGACTGGAAGAATGTAAGTGATATTTTCATCAAATTCAAATTCTGTTTTAAGATATTTTTCTTTTATCTAATTTCAAAAAGGATAATTTTAGTGTATTTTAATATCGTATTTTTAAATATTTATTCATAAATTATCGGAAAAATGATTGGAGGATGAGGAGAGCCAAAATTACGTATGTGGACTCGAATTAATAGGTGGAAGTATGATAAAGATAAGATATTGATTGTGGTAATCTATGAATGCGTATGGGAAGAAAAACGTCTAAGGTAAGGGCATTTTCCCATACTGATTATAACACACTACTACAAAAAACATATATAACAACAATTGGAAAAGGGATACCATCACACGTGACTCACCGTTGTGAAGTAGTGTGTGGTTGTAAGTTCGCTATATACCATTACAGGTGGGTGATTGTTGTGATATACTAGATAGCGCTCTACTTATAACCGCGACTGTTGGTTGCAACCGTTGTTACATAGTCTTAAGGTCATGGGTTTGAATCTCAGCACTTACGTGGAAATTTATATTAGACGCGTTGTCTTTCATCACGATCCTTTCTATAAACTGTTGTGAAACATTTATTAGTTTTTAAATTTTTTTATTTTATTATTGTATTACCAGCCCATTCTATTTTTGTACATGTATTATGAACCTGATTTTATACATATATTACAAAGGTAAATAGAATTTACATCAAAAGGCAAAAAAATTATTTACTTCATTAAATCCAAAAAATATTATTTACATCATCAGAATCAAATGTATATCAAACATATATATACTACAAATTAAACTCATGTTTGAGAACCCTTAAGCACATTGAAGATATAGGTCTAACATTTATAAATGTCTACAAAGTCGTCGTAGAGGAATGGTATAATGTCGTTAAACGTCTGCATAAAAAAGTGCATAAATGTGAATATCACACATATATGATAATCATAACCAACTTAAACAATAATATGTTATTGTAAACAATTCATTATATATATAATGTGTACCTGATCCCATGAATAAATAATGTCAGCAAAGACAATGTTTAACATGTGTTTCATTACATAATACCCACACTCGTGCCCTTTTGGTTGTATCGTTGTCTACAAATTTAACATTAATTTCATGAATGTTATAAACACATATGCATGTAAAAATATATATGTTGTAAATGTGCCTTAAAACCTCTGTTGATAAAGAGAAAGAAAACATATTTTGGAGACTGCATTTACCGTGAAAGTCGGACGAAAAGTCGAGAAAAAAAAACCGGTCGACGAATAGTGTCATCTGTATGGTGAATAGTATTGTCTGTACGGTGAATAGTGTTTTCGAGTTTTTGGGATTTTTTCGATTCCGTTCCTGGATCCATGTGATTTTGGACCTTGTTTGTTAGGTATTTGCTATTATAAATATGTATCTCTTATATGTTTGGTGTGTGACAATCTTAGAATTTTCACCAACAAGGGAGACCAAGGGTTTAAAGGTATAACACAGGGTTTCAGCTATGCATAAATAAAACCTTGAATTACACCTTGGATTTGAGTGATTCATATATCGAGAGTTAGAGAGGCAAGAAAACACTTGGGTAAAAAATAGGGTTGTTCTTGGGCGCCTTCAGAGTTGCTCTTGGGAACCTGAAGGCGAAGGCTATTTTCTTGTAACTCATCTGTAATATCTTGTAACAACTTTCTGAGTATAATGAATTGGAGAGATGTTATCTCCCCTAGAGTAGATCGTTTGGTCGAACTGGGTAAACAAACCTTCGATTTTTTCTTGCCTTATTTTGTTATATTATCTGTGTACGAATTATTATTGCTGAAGACCATTTATTCTGGTTGCTATTGTTCTTTGTCTCACAAATTGATACTGAATTTTGTCATAATTCACAACAAGATTTACAATAAGTGGTGCTGTGAGCGTGGAGCAAAGAGATATTGTGACAAGTGAGCACCATGTTAGTAGATGGCAGATCGAGAAATTTTTCGGTAACAACGACTTCGAGTTGTGGAAAATTAAGATGCAAGCAAATTTTATTCAAGAGAAATATATTGATGCTTTGAAGAGTGAATCATTAATGCATGTAGAGCTTACATATGTATAGAAGACCGAGATGGTGGATAAGGCCAGGAATGCCATTATCTTGTGCCTCGGAAATAAAAATCTAAAAGAAGTCGCCAGGGAGCAAAGTGCAATTGCTATGTAGGCAAAACTTGAATCATTGTATATGACAAAGTCTTTGGCTCACTGTTCGCCGTGAAAATTGGCGAACAATCTTTGGTCTAACAAATCGAAAAGAGATATGTGTTACTTGCAGGATCGACCATACAAATCCTATGACACATGCTAATTGATCTTTTAAATGAAGTGTGTGAGAATTATGAACACTTCGACAAATTTCATGGTAAGGTAACTTATTTCAAGTGTAAATGAATTTAAGCGACATTAAAAGGAATTAAAATGCTGATAAATAACAAGGATAAGAGCTT